GATGAGTGCACATACCCTATAGCAAATTGAAGAATAATGATAAAATAAATAATACTAACCCTTAAAAAATTAATTTGAATAGGCCTTATTCTTTCTCATTTTAAATATTATCCAAAAAACTGTTTTCAACATCTGTCATGGCGTTCTGCTACTTTTGTGGTCTTTGAGCTCTATTCAAAAGACTGTGCCATCTGTGAACTTCTGGTCAAAAGGACGCACTTAACCCTCAATGGCATGTGAATACTCTTCCTTAACTGAGGGTTGACTGTATCTCTCAGTTGTTTTCCTTAGGCCAGCTTGCCCCTTATTGACCAATCTATATCCCTTCCTATAACTAATGAAGATACTGGTATGGTACAAGGACAGTGGAGTGTGGAGATGATAGGGAAATGTTTTGTACAGGACCAAATGATTTTTGGACTGTTAACACCACTGCTTCTCAAACTTAGTACAAATAATTATGAACTATTTAGAAGTTGTTTTTTAATTTTCAGAATTTTAAGTGATTTTGTAATAAGATATGGTATTGTTACATGGGTTTTGATGAAATAAAGTAATAAACATGTGCTTAAAGGGGCTAATAAAATAAAATGTGCTTAAAGGGGCTAGCAAGTGGCATGGTGGTTGAGGCACTGCATTCCCACATGGCCAACCAGGTGTCCTGGACTCAGCTGCATGAAAACCACACCCAGGCGAATGTGTGTGCATGTCCAAAATCCCAGAGGAGAATGAAGAAGAGATTGTGATGTGGTCATTCCCCCAGGGGATAAGTTCTCATCCTCTCTTTGTCTCTCTCTGACTCTCCCCTTCAAGTACACATGCCCTATGGCAATAATAAAAAAAAAAAACCTTTTAAGAAAAGTGCTTAAAGAAAAAGCACTAGTCTAGGAGTCAAACTTAGTATGAATAAACTACTTAGATGCTGGGTTTTTTTCTTTGTTTCTTTTAATTGCCTGAGGGCTTGTGACAGAAAGGGAGAGGGAGAAAGTACCTTCCATTGTGGCATTGTGACGTTGCAGTCCCTTCTTCATTTGTTCTGTCAGGATTTGGGGCATGCGTGTACACACACCCAGGTGCTTTTCACGTTGCCCGGCCTTGCATTCAAACCATGTTCAGCCATGTGGAATCTGGCTTTCTTTAACCCCCAGGCTCTGGGACCAGTCCATAGTTGGGTTTTAGTTTTCATAATTTTAAATGATTTATTTGCAGTGACGGTACAGATGTAGTTACATGACTTTTGATGAAATTAACTTTACTTTTTTAAAAAGTGCTTAAAGAAAAAAACACTAGTCTAGGGGTTAGAAGACTGTTCTAGCACAAGTTTTGCTACTTAACTAGGTGAATGACACTGAGGAAGTCTTTTAATCTTTCTGTGCCCTAGTTTCTGTAACTGGAGATAATCGAAGGAGATGTCCTTCTCATCTTTCATGAGGATGAAAGTGAAAACCTGGAAACATTTTTAAAAAACATCCAGGATAAATGTAATGTGTATAATGATAATGATAACAAGTCTTTAATTGTCTTTTTTGCATACTGTAAGTAAAAATCTCGAATGCCTTCAAAATGAATTGAAATATTCCTTTTTAAAGCACACTGTTAGCAAGTCAAATACAGTAAGTAAAATGAGAAACCACTGAAACCGATTGAGAACTTGTATTTACTGATTTTGCAAGACTGAAGTGTTCATGTAGGTTAAGAATTTGTTTTTAACAGTTCCGTGAATGCATAGCTTTTGTCAGCAAGGAGAGTTGATGGCAGTAAAATTCAGAGTCCACTCTTAGAGTCATATAAAGAAAACATTGGAGTAGAAAGCAAAGAGGGTAATTATATTATGAGAACAGAGAGGAGTTGCCCATGTCCATCGCAAGATACCTGAATAGAGAAAAACCTTAGTCAAGGGCCCAGCAGGGCGGCATGGTGATTAAGGCACTGGACTCCCACATGACCGACTGCAGCTTGAAAATCACACCAGGTGTGTGTGCGTGTGTGCCCAAAGTCCTGAGGGAGAAGAGAGAAGGGATTGCGGCATGGCCATCCCCCCGGGGTGGTGGAATGATTTCTCATTTTTACAGTCTATCTCTGTCTCCTCTGTCTCCCAGGGAAGTGCACGTGCTGTATGGCCAAAACCTATACAATCTAACCTAAAAAAAACCTTGGCCAAGCCTGGGAGGAAGTTCTTTTCCTCAGGTGCTTTCCTCTGTCTCACTCTAAATGACTTCAAAGCCCCTCAGACTTATATTGTGGGTTGATTTTTCATGGTAGGTGCTTACAGGGAGAACCCAACTTCGTTGTTTCAGTAGAATGCCTGAGACTTCAAGAGGTCAGATTTAAAATATTTATTGAAAAACAAGAAAAAAAAAACCAGAATAAGAAATATCTGTTTATAGTGCAATGATAAAAACAGAAGTCATGTTGCGATACAATAACAAACTTACTTTTTGTTTTGATATTTGAGAGCTTTTTGCTATAGGGTGTGTGTGCTTGTCAGAGAGAGAGACAGAAAGTGAAAAATCACCCCCTTCCCCAGAGGGATAGCCACGCTGCAAATCCCTTTTCCTTCATTCTCCTCTCAGGATTTTGGGCATGCACTCACACGCCACTGGCGTCGTTTCAAGCTGACAGGTCTGTGACTCAAACTGTGGTTGACCACATGAGAATCCAGCACCTCAACCCCTACGCCACCTGCTGGTCCCAACAAACTTACTTTCATGTACAAGTCATATTTTAATTCATTTAATTGAGCAGTGTCTCAGTTTAAAATTATGTATAAGTTATAATCTATGTATTTTATTACTTCAGCTTTCCTTTTTTTCATTGTCAATGGGCACATGTACTTGCTAGAGAGAGAGAGAGAAAGAAAGCATTCTCTCTTCCCCAAATGTGATATTGTCATACTACAGTCCTTTTTCCTCCGCTACTCCATCCCTTCAAGATCTTGAGCATACACGTGTGCCCAGTGTGTTTTTCAAGTTGTCGGGGCCAGGATTCAAGCTACAGTCAGCCACGTGGACCCAGCTCCCTCTTCACAGCCCTTAACTAGTACACTACTACACTGCTTCACTTTTCCATTGTCCACAGTGCTTTATTAGATATGACATGTGTCATGGATACACATATGTAGTAAGTACATTTCTTTTTAATGGTTCCGATAATGTGACATCCCATAAAATGACTTGAAAAATCATATTCTTTCTAAAATTAAGTAGTAAAAAACTTTACTGTGACCGTTTAGTCTTTCATATTAGTGATTATTCTTCAGAACTCACAGAACTTTAAACAGAAATAAAAGACCAATTTCTACGGTTATACTTGAAACTTATGGGTTTCTTTGGGATGTAAGGAAAATATGTTGTAGGTGGTAGACCTTTCGTTAAATTTGTTAAATACTTAAGTGTCTATCTTGTACAGGACATCCTATTCAGAGTTGAAAAAGTGTGGGGCCAGGTGGTAGCTCAATAGTAACTAAACTGGACTCCCATGGGAGAGATCCTGGGTTTGTGTGCTGGACCTCCCTAAGTACGCCATGTGAGAAGGCATGCCTATGATCCATATTAAATGAAATTGGGGGGTTATGGCTGAGGACCCTATTGGAGGTGCCTCCACACCCCCCTCATCTCTCTTTCTCTCTCTCATGGGAGAAACATGCATATATATAACCTTTATTTTTAAAGAAAAGATTAATTGAGATATAAATTCCAAGAGACTGGAGTTGTGATGCTCAGAACTGTTTATTTAGTTGTGGTCACAGGAAACTGTGAGATTTCATTTCCCTGAACGCCGTGATGACACTCTCTCCACTGTAGCCCACTCTAATGTCTGCCCCTTACACCTTGTACATTGTTGACTAAAGTAAAAAAGAAGTAAAACTTTGAGTTTGTAAACTTGAAATTTAAAAGAAAAAGTTTAATTTTAATTTTTAAATAAGGAACTCTGTCAGAGTCCCTTCCCCTGTACAATTCAGTGGCTTGGAACTCGCATCAGTAAAGGTGTCTGTGCTTGAAGAGTTTTCAGGATGCTTCCTATAGAATCTTTGTAAATAGTGTGTGTATGCTTTCTTTTTTTTTTCCTGTGAAGTTTTCCCCCTTATTCTGACATTAAAATACATTTCAGATATTTTAAAACATCAAAACTTATTTCCAAGGTAGGTAAAAAGGATATGATCTCCAAAACACATACCCTCACACACACATACATTTATGAAGGGACATTATTTGTGAGAGCCTGGTATCAAACTCTACATTAGCCATTTACCTCAAAAGTAGTCTCTACCTCATAAGTTTATGAAGATTAAATGAGCTAATTTATGTAAAGTACTCAGAACATTAGCTGGCACATAGGAAGTACTATAAAAAGTTTCTATGATGGGGCTGGCAGGTGACGTGGTAAAGGGCACTGGACTCCCACATGGCCGACTGCGGTTTAAGTTTCAGACCTGGTGTCTTGCTTTCTCACTTTCCCTATCTCTCTCTCTCTCTCTCTCTCTGTCCCTCTCTAGTGAAATTAAAATAAATAAATAAAGTTAAATAAAATAATTCCTTTTTTTTTTTTTTTTAGAGGCTACATTCCACAGGGAGCATTCGCCCAGAAAGACAGAGACAGAGAGACAGAAAGTGAGAAATCACCCCCTAGGGGCGACGTCCATGCAACAATCCCTTCTCCTCCATTCTCCTCTCGGGATCTTGGGCACGCACGCACATGCACCCGGCATGAGTTTAAGCCACCGAGTCCGAGACTTGAACTGTGGTCAACTACATGGGAGTCCAGTGACATAGCCATTACACCAACTGCTGGTCCCAAGTTAAACAAAATAATTGTTAAAAAAAAAAAAGTTTCTGGGACCAGCAGTCTCACACCAATAAAAGAAAAGAAAAGAGAAGAAAAGAAAAGAAAGCTTTTGACCAGTTTTATTTTTTTAACTGTATATTGATTTCTTAAATAATGCCACATTTCAAGTAATTTAAGAGATGCTACTTTAAGACAACTCTGTATTTTCTTTTCAGATGGCCCTTCAGAAGCACCAGTGACCAATGGGAACACAACCACAGCGCCAGCCCTGAGCGATGATCTGGACATCTTTGGACCAATGATTTCTAATCCCTTACCTGCAACTGTCATGCCCCCAGCTCAGGTAAGAATATACATGTATGTGGTGGTCACTGCTTACTTCCCTTTTACAAGTTTCAGAATTTCAGCTTTGGAAGAATTAATTCTGATCATGAATTGAAAGTCACCTCCTTTTTGGCCAGAGCTGGGCAAACTTAAGCCTGTAGCTTGTTTTTTTTTTGGAGAGATTTTCACTGTAGGGCATGTGCGCTCGCCAGACAGACAGAGAGAGACATAGAGACAGAAAGCGAGAAATCACCCCCCCAGGGGGGATGGTCACGCCGCAATCCCTTCTCCTCCATTCTCCTCTCAGGATCTTGGGCACGCACGCACACGCGCCCGGCGTGAGTTTTAAGTCACCGGGTCCGGGACACGAACCGCGGTCGACTACGTGGGAGTCCAGCGACATAGCCATTACGCTAACTGCTGGTTCCCGAGCCTGTAGCTTGTTTTTATAAGTTAAGTTTTATTGGAACACAGCCATTCCTCTCGGTTTACATATTCTCTGTGGCAGCTCTAGTGCGACAAAACCAGAGTTGAAGGCAAGTTGAGTATCTGTAATCCAAACATCTGAAATCCAAAATCTTAAACTTCTGAAAGCCAACATGACACTACAGTGGAAAATTCTATACTTTACCTCATGTAACAGATCAGTCAAGACAAAATTAGGTGTATAAGATGTATATGAGGAGCTGGCAGGTGGTGTGGTGGTTAAGGGTGATGGACTCCCACATGGCCAACCGCGGTTTGAGTCCTGTACCTGATGGCTTTCTTTCTCTCCTTCTCTCTCTCTCTCTCACTCTGTCCCTCTCTGGTCAAATGAAAATAAATAAATAAAGATATATAAAATAATTCCTTTTTTAAAAAAAGATGTATATGAAACAAATGAATTTTGTGCTTAGTTGTGGGGCCTAGCCCTAAGATATTTGGTTATGTATAAGCATATATTCCAAAATCCAAAAAAACACCCTGAAATTTGAAATGGTTCTGGTCTCAAGCATTTTGGGTAAGGAGTCCTGAACTTGTAGTTACAACAGAGACCTAGGACCCCCAGATTTTAAATTATTCACTACCTTTAAAGTCCAAACCCTCGATTTAGAGAAAAAACAATTTTTAGAATACACAAGTGGAATAAACTTGACTATTCAACCTTACCTGGGATCAGTAAGTTCACTTCAGTGGTTTTGAAACTGTGGGGGTTTGTGAATACTGATTGGGGTTAAGACGTTCTAGCAAATGCACACTCATTTTTAAAAATGAAGATAAATTATGTTTTAAATTAGTTTAAAACCAGTCTTGCTATGTATATTTTTAAAAAGATTTATTTAATTTTATTTATTATTCTTCAATTTGGACAGAGGGGGTGGGGTAAGAAAACAAACCACCAGGTCCAGGACTTGAACCACAGTCTGTCATGTGGGAGTTCAGGACTTTAACCACCACAACACCTGCTGACTCCACTATGTATATTTTTTAGTGACGTCTTTTTTAATTTCCCAGAAGGTATATGTGCTTGCTGGAGAAGACAGAGACAGTGAAGGAAAGGAAGAAAACATCCCCCATGAAGAATGGTCATGCTATAATCCCTCCTCCATTTCTTCCTCCTTTTGTGATTTTGGGCATTTATGCCACATGTAGTACCTGGCATGTTTTCCAAGCCACTGAGTCTAGAACTTAACTGTTGGTCAACTATGTGGGATCCAGGTGCCTTAACCACCAGGCTATGGGCTGACCCTTTTTTTTCATGATTCTTTTAGAAAACTATTTAGATTAGTAATATTAATGATCAGGTTTTTTTAAAAAGTATTCATGGTGGGGGTGGACAGGTGGCCTGGTAGTTAAGGTTTTGTACTCGCACATGGACGAATGGGGTTCAAGTCCCAGGTCTGGTGGCTTGCTTCTCTCTCTCTCTCTCTCCAGTAAGCACATGTATCCTATAGCAAACTCAAAAAAAAATGATTTTTTGAAAAAATTTTATTCATTTTAATTTGACCAGAGAGACACATACACAGAGAGAGAGAGAGAGGTAGGGAGAGAGGGAGAGAGAGAGAGAGAAAGAGAGAGAGAGAGGGAAAATGAGACACCACGTCAAGGACTTAAAGTGTGGTTGACCATGTGGGAGTGTTCAGTGTTTCAACCACCACTCCAACTGCTGGTCCCATAAATAAATAAGTTTTTTTTTTGAGATGTTTTTGCTAGAGTGTGTGTGATCACCAGGAAGACAGAGAGAGACAGAGAGACAGAAAGCAAGAAATCACCCCCCAGGGGGGATGGCCACTCCCCAATCCCTTCTCCTTCAATCTCTTCTTGGGATCTTGGGCACACACGCACACGCACCCAGTGTGAGTTTAAGCCACTGGGTCCGGGACTTGAACCACGGTCTACAACATGGGAGTCCAACAACATACCCATTATGCTAACTGCTGGTACCAATAAATAATTTTTTTAAAAAGTATTCATGGTGAACACATTTTGAATTGCCTTAACATTACATGAAGTTTCTATAAGGTGAAAAATATAAACTTTTAGAATAGGAGATACTGTTTTTTGTTTTAAAGTTTATTTCTTCCATTAGTGAGAGAGAGAAAGTTGACACCCCCAACAGAGTCTTGATGCAACAATCCCCTCCCAGCCTTCAGACAACCCCTGATAATAGGCACATTTATACCCAGAATTCATAGGGAGGTCTCTGGACTTAAACTGGGAACCTTTCCACATGGAATTGCCTCACAGAGTATCACGTCTTATTGCACCGGACTCCCAAGTATATTTTTAAAACGTTTGCTTCTTTCTTCCATGAGAGAGCTAGGTGGGCACCTCAACAGTTTACCATGCTACAATCCACCCTAGCCTCAGCCAAGCAGAATCACATGCATATGCATTTGCGTAGAGACAGAGGACCTCAAGGCTTGGCAGGATGGCTTCAGCATTGCAGAGTGTTGTATTACCATTGTGCCATGGTAGCTGGCCTTAAGTTACTCTAATCACATCATACTCTGATTTTATATTAAATTCATAGTTTTTATAAGTCAACAACCAGGTTTTTTTAATACATAATAATTTTTTAGATAAAATATTTCCTTTGTCATACAACAGTCCACCATACAGAATCCACATGGGAGGATCCTGGGTTCTTGTCCTGAGGTCTTCCTGTACATCAGGCATATACTGAGGCCCTGGGGGTGGATAGCAGTTGGGAGTGTCTTCCTTACCACACCACCCAAAGAAATGAACAAACTTTTTTGTTCTTGTCTGTAGAAAAATTGAGCCAAATCTGATTTGTTTGTATGAAAAGTTTTAATAAGAGAAAATTTGTCTTAGTTAAGACTCATAACATTTTTATTGCATAGATTTATTATTACTATGATAGCTATTATATAGTTACCACTAGAATTAAACAAATTTCTAAGTAATAATTGGCTTAAAATTTTTTAAAGAGATTTTTGCTGTAGAGTGTGTGCAGATGCCAGAGAGACAAAGACAGAGAAGGTGAGAAATGACCCCCCAGGGGATGGCCATGCTACAGTCCCTTCTCCTCCATGCTCTTCTCAGGATTTCAGGCATGCACATTACACACTCATGCACCTGGGTGAGTTTCAAGCTGCCGGGACTGGAATGAGAACTGTGGTCAGCCATGTGGTAGTCCAGCGCCTTAACCACTATGCCATCTGCCAGCCCCTAGTTTAAATGTATTTTTTTATCAAAATTGTAGCAGTGGTCTTTACTTTTAGCAAAAGGTGGTTATTTTATGGCTTTGTCCCTTCTCTCTCCCTGTAACACACGGAAAAAGAGGAACTAAGTATTATTACTACTGTTGTTTCAATTAATTATTATCAATTACCTTGTGAATTTATGCAGACATGGGTATACAGTGACAATAAAAAACTAATATTGTGACTTTGGAAAGAAGTGCTTACGATATTTGACAATCTAAGCATGAAAAGCAATTAATTTTGGTCTCGCATTCTAGTGAGGCAGTTTTATCTGGCAGACTTCTTTAGATTCCACCTGGGTATGAAAGTTACTTTGCAACTGGTTGGAGAACTAGACTCTCAGGATTGGGTGTACTTCATGTGTTATGTTCTGTATCAAAGTAGCAGACTTCACTTAACTCTTATGGACAAGTACCTCTGTGTCAAGGACTATGGGGTCTGGCAGTTTCCTGGAGGGGAGGGCTGATGGATGTTTTGGGCATTGTGATCAAAACATGTTAGGATGTCAGAGCTAGTTTTTAAATTCTATGTATTTCTTTTTCCTTGGGACACTATTTTTGGAACAAGATTGTGTGCTAGTCGTATTGAGCCATGTAAAATATTTAGGAAACAGAATTATCATTCATCGGATTACATGTAAAGATTAAAATCCAGACACATGTTTATAGTGATGCTTGTGAAAATGGAGGAGCTGCTGCAAGCATGTGCTTAAGCATACACTGGTACTCGCAGGTCATTGGGAATCATGACGTCTTTTTCTGGGTTTTTCTATGCAAAAATGTGTTCTGACTTTCTTGACTACCCAATATAAATAATTTTGGTGGGGTATATGAAATTGAGCTGAGACTAGTTTGGACATTAAGTTTGTGAATTACTCTGAACTCTATTATTATTTTACTCCTGGTGTTATTTTCTAAACACATACAGATTCTACTAGAAGATTTTCCCATTCATGAATATGAAACAGATTGAGTTTACCATCTACTTTACCTGTTTGAGTCTAGTGTTCCCTAGATGAGGGTTAGAAATACTCAGAAGTGCTGACAGAAGTGTGCATGTTTTGTGGGTTTGGATAACAGTTCCAGAGTCTCAAATGATGACACATAGAAGCCCTTTTCATGTCCTGTTGTCCGGTACACACACTCGCAGTATCTAGATCTACACAAGTGCTGCGGCCTGTCATTGGTTCAGCTCTGGGATCCCAGCAAGCCAGAGAGCCTGTGGTTAGAGGACCTATGGTCTCTCGAAGTATGACGTGACAGGCAGTACTCCTTTTATCCTAGTTTTGTAGTGATGGCAAATGGAGAGCCAGAACTGGAAGTGGACATTTAGTGCTGACTAGCCATGTTGCTTGGCTTGGCTGTTTTTAGACTACGTCCATGTTTAGGTGGGTGGTGCACCTTATCTGCCTTCATCTCATCATACGTGATGATGTTTAGACCATGTGTGCATTAGCCAGGCTGCTCCATGACACCAAATCATAGCTTACCCATTTATTTTGTTATATTTCATACACAGGAAGTAGATCCCAGGGTCTTGAGCAGATTTTTAGACTGAACAAAAACTAAACATGAGCAGAACATCATTTAGTGATGCCCTTGCTCTGAATCTAACAGCAGCAATAAACAGAGTCCTTAGCCCCACGTTGCACAAAGCACTTCTTGTGGTCATCACACTTACCCCCAGTTGATAGATAAGACCGAAGGGAGAAGCCAGGTGACTTATGGAAGGACACACTGGGATCAGTCGTGGGCAGGGCTCGTCCTGGCAGGCTGGCTACAGTCCAGCTCTTCCCCTCTGTGATCTGCTGCTGCTTCATTTGGAGCTCAGATATATTTTGTTCAGTGGCATTGTTACATTTGGTATTCCAGGATGTCTAATTTCTTACATACTTCAATTTTTTTTTTTTCAGATTTAGGTGACTTTCTTTGTATCTCGCAATTCTTGCTTAATTGGTCATAACAGTCAGAAACAGTTCGTTTTTGAGAGTAGAATGTGTGGATAACAATGTATTACATAGCAGTCTAGCCAAGGCATTAAATGTTTGAATTTAGCATCTGCTTGCTACTCATCTTATTCTATAGTTTGAGAAGAGTCTTGGCCAGCTTTTACTGGTCTTCATAGAATTCTTTGAAACTCTTCATGTTTAAAATAAGTCTGTATAGACAGGGGTAAATATGATTATTTAATGACTGCAGAGATCATTAAGTGAGGCTATCCACTGTAATTATATTAATTATCTACTTGTTTATTGTTCATTTGTCCCCTTACCCAGCAGTGGAGTACAGGATATGGTTGAGAGTCTAGCTTGTTGAAGTTATGCTGGGCTTTTATTTCTAAACAGATTAGAATCAGTCTAATAATGTTGTGGTTTAAACTGATCTTGATCAAGTCTATAAAAAAAATCTTACAATGCAGCTTTGGAAAAGGTCAAAAAGACTTTTAATAAACTAGTGCAAGACCCTCTTGCAGTAATATTCCAAGGGATACCAGTTCCTTGAAGCAGTAATTACTGAAGGAAATGCCTGAGCATCACTCAGGAGTAGGGGTCCTCAGACAGCAGCCACCCAACTATTGTTGAACTCATTGTATTCAGGATGTGATGGGCAAAAAAAAAAAAAAAAAAAAAAAACCAAACCAAAACAAAATTATCCTTGGTATCAGCTTAGCTGGTAAATGCAGTTTATTATGAAGTAGCCACAGTATACTTCATTAACAGATTTCCAAGTAAGAAATGTTACAACTTTACTCTGGATTTTTTGGTGTGGACTTGTGAGTGATCCTCTTGAAGTCATCATTTTACCTCTTACAGTTGTTTAATTTCTGTCTAATTTCATGACTTTACTTGGAAGTTAAGTAATAGGTGAGCAGTGCTTTATTCTGCAGAATTCAATAGCTTATTTTGGTGTTTGTATCAGGGGACATCCTCTGTATCTGCAGCCACCACCCTATCTACAGTAACATCGGGGGATCTGGATCTTTTCACTGAACAAACTACAAAGTCAGAAGAAGTGGCAAAGAAACAACTCTCCAAAGACTCCATCTTATCTCTGTATGGTACAGGAACCATTCAGCAGCAGAGTACGCCTGGTAAATAATTTCGAAATCTGCGTTCAGTGAATCTCTGACTGTACTAGAAACACATGTCCTTTGTCATTACAATAATACCAATTATATTTCTTCCTTATTTTTCTGTGCAGTGGGTGCTTTTTTGTTATAATTTACACAACTCAAACTGAAATGAACAAGGCATGAGAATTAAAAAGCACATGCAGGATTCACAGAACTTTATTTAAAATTCACATATCACTTAGTATTGTTTCACGAGCTTATAGGACATGGCTTATCTTTGAAGAATGATTGAAATTTGACCTACATGAAGTTTATAACTGTACAGTATATTTTGTCTGTAGGCAAACAATAGGTAGTCTTAATTATCACATGGATTTCAAAAAAGCTTTGACATTTTTTGGTCATTATAATGAAATACTAGCATATACACAGTTTTAATATCAGACCATGTCTTCTAAAATAATGAGCTGATTTCACGTATGGGCTGAAATTATATGATAGCTCACTACTTCCATTAAAGCTAGATATAGTCAACTCTTTCTTGCCTGTCTAGTATTAGGAGCCAGTGGTGCAGATTAACAGAAACAACATAAAATCTCATGTTATGTAGTTTGGTCTTCACAATAGAAGACACTTTATGTGACTGTACATAAGATTTATAGTTCCTAATTAAAGTTAGTAACTGATTTGTCTGCATTTTGGAAGTAACCAGGATCTAAGGATTTAGGTATTTTGGGGTTGGTCAGAGTAATTGGAGCAACCAGAATGGAATTAAAGTTTTTATTACGGGTAGTTCAGAAAGATGGTAATCCATTTTATATGACTGTGGAGGTGCATGTAACTATCTGCAATAGCCTTGCGTTCTTTATTCATTTTCTTTTCTTGGTTCTTATGATGCAGGTGTCTTTATGGGACCCACAAATATACCATTTACCTCACAAGCACCAACTGCATTTCAAGGTTTTCCATCAATGGGGGTACCCGTGCCTGCAGCTCCTGGCCTTATCGGAAACGTGATGGGACAAAATGCAAGCATGATGGTGGGCATGCCCATGCCCAATGGGTTTATGGGAAATGCACAAACTGGTGTGATGCCACTTCCTCAAAATGTTGTTGGCCCCCAGGGAGGAATGGTTGGACAGATGGGTGCACCCCAAAGTAAGTTTGGCTTGCCACAAGCTCAACAGCCCCAGTGGAACCTCTCACAGGTAGGGATCATTTTTCTCTCCAACTTTTCTCAAATCAACAAACCAGATTTGTTTTTGAGGTGGTCTTAAAAAAAAGAATAAGTATTTTTTTTTTTAAGTTATTTTTTTTTTTTTTTTTTTTCCTCTAGGGCACGTGTGCTCACCAGAAAGACAAGGAGAAACAGAGAGACAGAAAGTGAGAAATCAATCCCCAGGGCGGATGGCCACGCCGCAATCCTTTCTCCTCCATTCTCCTCTCGGGATCTTGGGCATACATGCACATGCGCCCAGCGTGAGTTTAAGCCACCAGGTCCGAGACTCGAACCGTGGTCAACTACATGGGAGTTCAGTGACATACCCATTACGTTAACCGCTGGTCCCAATAAGTAGGAATTTTTCCATTTCAGATTATAACAGCTATAATCGTGAACATCTCCACTCTGTCTGTAATAGTTAGAAACTATTTTGGACATCATGAGAGACTTTCTATCTGTCCCCATTGAGGTCACCATCAAGCTTTACCCAACCCCTAGTGGGGCGTTTTTGTGGTCTACTTAGGCCCATCTATCTTCACTGTTAATTTCTGTAACTTTCAAATTTGACTTCATAATCTTCTAATATAATTTTGTGAGGGATCTAGGTTATCTTCCATATCATGTAGTTAGTGCCCATGAATTTGTAAAAATTACTTGTTCAAAACCTTTGTAAAGTTGCATTTTTCACATATCCTATAATGACTTTTTAAATTTACAAATAGTTCAAGAATTCCCATAAGATATGAATAAGTTCATATTTGTCTTATATTATAAAATCCTATTTTATCTAAGTTTGTTTAGAGCCCAGAGATGACATTTCTGTTTGAGGTACTCAGTTCTGACTTTACCTCTGTAGTCAAAGGCTCTTCGACTTAGGTTCTTCTCCCACTGCTCTTCCATTTACACTTCCTGTTTGATGTTCATCCAGCATTTTCTGTTTAGTCTGCTGTTTCACCTTGAGAGCATTCAGGGAACAGTTTAGAGTGATTGCTAACAAATATTAAGGAATCACTGTATAGCCCATGAATGGTCCAAATTATTTTTGCTGTCACTGTTTACAAGAGTATGTGTGAGACCATGGTTTCTATCCTCTGAGAATCTCAAAAATTATGTCAGTAACAGGTTTTATGTGGCCAATATCTGAAACCCACACAGCTCAGGTTAAGGTACCAGGTGAACCAGCTGGGAAAGTTGACTCTTACTTACAAAAAATCCAGGAGGGTGATGCTGTTTTCCAGCCCTCCGTCAGTGGCATCTATTGGCCAGTGACAAGGAGGTTAAAAAATCCTTTAGAAGGCATATGCCTGATCAGTGAAGTGAAGGAGGTTAGTGTCTTTGAAAAATTTCAAATATATGAGCTTTATTAAGAACACAATGTAACCCAAAGCATAGCTTTTGAACCTACTCTATATTTAATGGTAAACCTTGCCTTTCCTTGTATTATCACCATTCTTGGAAGTATGAAAACCTCAGAGTTAAGATATATTTTATTCCAGTCTGGAAGAAAAATACATTTAATCTTAGACTATGGAGCATATTTTGAAAATTAATTTTTCTTAGGCCGGCCAAAGAAAAAAATGTATATTTTATGACCATTTTTAAATATTTAGGAAGTATAGAGAATAGAGAATCATTTAAGATTTTAATAGAGAATTATCACACAAAGTTTTATAGGATAATTTGAGAATATTTACCTTCTAAATTTTCTTGGTCCTTGGTAGTTAAAGCACAATACCCTAGAGTAGGTTAAAATTGGAGTGGTGGACTCAGTTTATTATATACTCATACTCAGACAAATTAAAAAACTGTTTTGATATTTTTTTTTCAGTTTTAGTTCATCTTTGGGGACAAGAAGTTGAATCTAGAAAGTGAATAAATATGTATGACTAAGTTTACTTTGTGGACAGTACTAAAAAGTAGAAGAAAAGAAAGAACAAGAAGGGAAAAGAAGTAGCTGTTTGCTTTCTGTAAAGAAATATTTGTATGGTGTTCTGCTTTTACCTAAGTGCTTTGACTAATTTTCATACTAAGGAAAATAAATGTCCCACTGTGGCTAAAGAAACAAGAATTAAAAGTGAGTAAGCCTCATAAGCTAAGCCTTTCTGTGTTTCACAGATGAATCAGCAGATGGCTGGTATGAGCATCAACAGTACAAACCCTGCAGCGGGGTTCGGCCAGCCCCCCACCACAGCAGCAGGTTGGTCTGGAAGCTCATCGGGTCAGACTCTCAGCACACAACTGTGGAAGTGAAAACTGCAACACAAGTTTCATCCAGAACTACCACCCGACATTCCTTGCTAAAACGCATCCAGTTCCCGTTTACTCATGTACATACGTCATTTTTCTTTTTCCCCATTTATTCACATTAAGAATTATCTGATTGACCATTGTTGGTCCGTACTGATTAAATTTTGATGTGGTGAAAAGCAGGTTGAGGACATTTATGTCAAAGGCAGCTTTGCTCGTTTTCCCATGGTTTCACATACCATTTGAGAAGCTGCTCAAGTCAACTTGCATAATCAGTTTTATGCTCAATAAAATTATAGCTCTAATGTTTGCATATAAGGGAAGTAGTTATCATGTTAGTAATACCTCTAACAGTATGAACCCCACCCCCAAATTAGCCAGTAATCCTGTAGGAAGGTACTGTATGATCAAATGTTTAATCATATAAATAGAATGTAAATGTATCACTGAGCACTGTTTTCTAGTGATCAAAATCCTTTTATTTCATCATTCACTTCACTGTGCTGTTGTTATGATGTGCTTAACAGGGAATGTGGTTAGTGAAAGGAAGATAAACCTGGATGTCACTACAAAACTTTAATGAATGCTTAAAAAAACTCCAATTTTATCTGCTTCTCTTGTAATTTGGCTCTCTCCTTATGGACATAGTGCTCACACAAAGACCTTTTTCTGCACTATATGCAAACAGGGTAACTAAAACAAAGCCACTTTCGATCCTTGAAGGAATATCCAGGTTTATGACAGTAATTGTGTTTACATTTTATGGTGCCTAGTATTGACAAAATGTTATTTCCCTATATTAAACAGATGACTCCACAGACCTTCTTATTTGTGGGCTTTTTTCTTTTCTTATTCCCTATGATGTATTTTGCCACCAGCCTTCCAGAAATTACTTAATGTTGCAAAGTTAGGCATTGGGAATGTCCAGTTGACAAAATACCTGTCATCTGTTAAAACCTGTTCACTTCTACCAATTATAAGGCCAACTGGGGGTGAGGGGAGTATATCAAATACACAGAATGGTATCTTGCAGTGCCATTTCACCATACTGTACAAACCTCTACCAATTTAGTTGTAGGTAATACATGCAGAACAAATGAAGACAAGGCGTTCATTCTGTACCATCCGGTTAGCTTATGCTAACTGACAAGCTCTGTATAAACAGATGTCCTTCAGATGACGGTAAAGGCTGTTGTACTGAAGTTAAATGAACAATACCTGAAGGCTTTGCAGCCTAAGCTCCAAACATCCTCTTCCACATTCACTGGCAGGGCGCACTGCACCAGTTACTGCTTCAATTATACCTCAATTTTCACCGTGTCCAGGTGGTACTTTGGCTCATTGGCTAGATTAACCTTTTCTGTCCGAGTGTGCCACACGAGAACCTAAAGGGGAGGGGAATATTTTGAGTATCAACTCTTTACACAGACACTCGAGGTCAAGCAGCACGAATGAAATGAATACCTTGGTGCAGTTACTTGCTTTTGGTTCCAGTTCTTCGACTGTTGTGATTTGTTTTAGAAAGTCAGATTCTTGCATCCCTGGCTGGGATCCACGGCGCTTAAATACAGCTTTGGGGTTAGACAAGATGACTTGAAGACTTACAGCAAATCCTTTGTGAAAAGTTAAGGAAAAAAAGACTTTAAAAACTAGTGTACTTCTCCTTTTCTCTATATAATTTTGTTCACATCAAAACCAGTTTTTAAATACCTACTCTGTGTTATGCCTTAGTTTACGAAGTCTCAAAAGGAAACAGTCATTACTGTATCGTACTGTGCAAGGCAACCACTGCACAGCAGCCATCTCGTCTGCCAGTGAAGGGCGAATTTTCTAAGCTGCTGTTGCACAGTCATCACACTCCCACATTTTGACACTCCAGGAAGAAAGAACTAAGAACTAAATGGGGCTGAACAGATACAGAATCATCCTGACCATCCCCGGGGTATGAGAGTGCCCACCCACTGCTCCGGCCTGCCCTCTAACACCATGATGTCTGCTTTACCGACATCGGCACCACTCTGCTTGACTTTGCATTTAGAAGACTGAGTAATAGTAATAGTCAGTTAGCTAGAAAATGAATAATAGTGGGGGCTGGCAGGTGATGTGGTGGTTAAGGGTGCTGGACTCCCACATAGCTGACTGTGGTTCGAGTCCCGGACCTGGCGGCTTGCTTTCTCACTTTTCAATTCTCTCTCTCTCTCACTCTGTCTCCCTCTGGTCAAATTTAAATAAATAAATGAATGAATTAAGTTAAATAAAATAATTTTTTAAAAAAGAAAATAATATCTAATTTTCAATCAATCTGTGTGATAAATTTGTTTCTTATAGCTCACTTTTAAAAAATCTATGTATTTCCTTCAATTGTTTGGTCATAAGAAAATTCATTACTGTTTTATCTGTAGTTTAACAAATTCCATGTCTGAAGTTCAGCCATTTAAAGCACTGTGTAAGCCATCTTGTCAAGTAATCATTTTGAAAGCCTGACACCTGGACCCTTTTGCTGTTAATGACAATTGTGACACTGAAGTCAAGCATCCCCCCATAGTCAAAGCGATGAGGACCAAACCCCAGGAACATTTCTTAGCAACTTTTTGTATTTCTGTATGTTAACTGAATTGATTATGCATCTTTCTGCAAATATAGTTAGCAAAGTAAGTACCAGATGATACCAGGCAGCAATGGAGGAGTTGGGAAAAAACCAACCCCACCATTCTCATAACTTCTCCAAATACCAGCCTAGGCTGCCTCATGCTCTAGACTGTTGCCTTTTTGGGAAAACTTAATACTGAACAATATACAAACACAACTTGATATAGCAGGTGCTGAGTGAAGCAGAACAACAACAAAAAGATCACAAAAGTGTTAGCCTTAAAACTGATCTCAGTATCCTCCACCAATCCTGGAGGAAGTCAGCACATTCTAGCAGAGCGAACACTGAATTTAGAAGTAGAAACCTTATGTTTTTGTCTGGGTCCTTGTACCTGGGGCACTGGACAAGTCACTTATTTTTGCTTAAATTCTGTAACTTCCCTGTTTTCTCATCTACAAAAGAAGTATGACCCCTCCTCAATGTTTGATGTCGAATTTTATGTATAGAAAGAACACTGACTGCAAAGAATGGCACCAAAGACACCACAATATGGAAGAATACCACCGTAATATTACCATGAGGGGCAGGTGGCATTCACCATTGTGGCTGAAAGAACACTGGTTGACAGGTAAAAGGACTTTTGGAAGTTCCGAGTGGCAAAGCCAGTCCACCTGCATGTCCTACTATTCTGAAGCCTTCCTAAGGCACAACAGACACAGGACTCCTCAACAAAAAGCCAAAGGCTCAAGTTAATATACAGAGTGCCTTTTCTAATAGGTCAAATCAGATTTCAGTATGAAAAAAATCTCTTGCTTTTTTTCATGTGTTTATAAATAAGCTTCATCCTTTTTTATCTAGATGATTGTCTGCCCTTCTCAATCACACTGAAGCTCCTGGGATATTCTTCACAGTGCTTCAAGGTACTGACTGTCCCCATTCTCATTTAAAAACAACAAACAACAACAAAAAACAGGATCCAAAATCTGCAGAAGTAATTCTGAAAATGATACAAAGCCACTTTGATCTGATACCCTTCATTGTCCCCTAAGTCTTGAACACATTCATCATCATGACACTGAAGGACTCAGATTAGGAATGGGCTTTGCTTTCTTTTGCTCAGGAACATCCCTTTAGCTCTGAATGCAGTTTCACAGCAGAATCTACACACTAAGCAAAGCTGACAGCCTGTTGTGAGGCTCCATGTAGTTTTGCTCCTAGGCCCCCTTTCCTGGCCTCACCTAAGGTGTGCACTGAAAGGCCAGCACCCTGGATAGGGACTGTAGTAGGCTCCCCACAGCAACCGCGGTTTCTCAATTGTCTTAGCAAAGGGGAAGGGAAGGGGTTGCAGTTCACATGCTTCTCAACTGTCACCTCGGTTTTCTGCTCTCCCCACTTCAAGGACCTCTTCAAAGGAAGCAGGTCACAGCCAGCGGGCCAGCTAGTCCAACCCGGGGTGCTTTGGGGGAATCTGTCCTGCCATAAAGCTGGCAAGAGTTAAGAGCTCTATCTCAGAAACCATGATAAAGTGTAAATTTTTAGTTCCTAGACCAATTTCCAACCTAAGATGGATATCTAGGGTTTTCTTCAATTCCAAGTTATGTCTCAAGTATTATGTCTTCTGTTTTTGAGTCAGTTTGATTAAGTTTTAAAGATGTTGCAGTGGCTTTTGAATACTAGGAGCCTTGCAAAAACAGTGGGAGTAGGATTTTCTGTCCTAGTCAGTTGTATAAAATACAAAACAAAATGCAAATGAAACATGGGTTTTCACTGTGAAGGCAGGAGTCCCTGATTCCTTTAAGCAGAGTTAGGTGGGGAGGGTATATTTCCTCCCAGGCAGAGGAACAAGGCCTGCCTCAATGATAGGCTACTGATTACTGGGTAGGAAATCTGTAAGACCTTCCTAGTCCAATGAGCCATTTCTACTTCTGAATAAGACGAACCAACGGGACTGTTTTTTTCCTACTGTTTTAAATAAAACTGGACAAAAGGTTTGAAAAAGTTTTCGCATTGGAAAAAGAGGCGTGTAGGGCAGACTTTTTTTTTTTTTGGAGAGGTTTTTGCTATAGGGCATATGTGCTCGCCAGAAAGACAGAAAGCGAGAAATCACCCCCCCACCCGGAGTGGGGGGGAGGGGGGATGGCTGCACCACAATCCCTTCTCCTCCATTCTCCTCTTGGAATCTTGGGCATGCACACATGCGCCGGGCATGCACACATGCGCCCGGCATGAGTTTAAGCTGCTGGGTCTGGGACTCGAACCACGGTCGACTACATGAGAGTCCAGCAGCATAGCCATTACATCAACTGCTGGTCCCAGGCAGACTTCTGAGAAAAGAGAAACGTGAGCGCCACAGCTGCCCCAGCTTCCTGCCTGAAGAGTGTCTGCAGGCCAACCACAGGGAGAGGAACTCAAAAAGCTGCAGCCTCTGAGATGTGAGGAAACAGACTGAGAATGAGAAGAAGCCATGACAGCCAGAATTTGAGGGCACAGTACCTGGACAGAAAAGAGCTCTGTTGATCTGTAAAGGGGCTCCCCTCAAGTTTTCAAGGATGATTGGCAAGTGCAAAATTACCAAGGCTAGGTAAGGAAACACTGCAATCAAGCAGGTTGGATCCATTGGTGGGGCGTACTCAGGCAGGGAGTAAGTCACATTCTCAACAGCCAGAATGGAGATATCTAGTAGGAATTTAGACAGCTAGAAGAGTTGAGCGAGTTTGATTTAATTTTTTTTTTTTTTGAGAAGTTTTGCTATAGGGCGTGTGTGCTCGCCAGAAAGACAGAGACAGAAGGTGAGAAATCACCCCCCGGGGGGATGGTCACGCTGCAATCCCTTCTTCTCCATTCTCCTCTCGTGATCTTGGGCACACACGCCCACGCACCCGGCTGGAGTATAAGCCACCAGGTCCGGGATTTAAACTGCAGTCGACTGCGTGGAGTTCAAGTCCCAGACCTAGTGGCTTAAAATTCATGTCAGGGGTGTCTGTGTGCACATGTAGCCCAAACTTCAAGAAGAATATGGTAGAAAAGGGATTGTGGCATGACTAGCTCCCTCCAGGGGGTGATTTCTCACTTTCCTTCTCTCTGTGTCTGTCTGGCAAGTGCACATGCCCTATGGGGGTAAAAATTGCGTTTATAGTTTAAAAAATCCCTACACACACACACACACAACCCTCCAGGTTCAGAGAACTTCATTGGTGAATTCTAACAAACATTTAAGGAAGAAATAATAGCAATTATAACCATTTTACCCCCCAGAAACAGAAAAAGAGGACACACTTTTCATGTTCATTCTATGAGAATGGCATTGTCTTGATACCAAAATCAGACCAAAAAAATTACAAGGAAACAAGACAACAACTGTGATGAACACAAAAATTCTTGAAATTATAATTAAATCCAACAATAAAGAGAATTAAAAATCATGACCATGTGAGGTTTTTTTTTTTTTTTGAGAGGTTTTCGCTATAGGGCGTGTGCGCTCTCCAGACAGAGAGAGACAGAGAGACAGAAAGCGAGAAATCACCCCCCAGGGGGGATGGCCACGCCACAATCTCTTCTCCTCCATTCTCCTCTCGGGATCTTGGGCACGCACACACACGCGCCTGGCGTGAGTTTAAGCCACCAGGTCTGGGATTCGAACCGTGGTCGACTACATGGGAGTCCAGCAACATAGCCATTACGCTAACTGCTGGTCCCACCATGTGAGGTTTATCCCAAGCTGCAATCTATGCGTGGTTAGCTGAAAGATCAGTTATGTGTTAGACGCAGATTTCCATAAATGTCTAGAATCAAAGAGTGTCTCAGTGTTTGCCAAAGTCCTCTGTATGTGGGTTAGCAGATGGCATAGAGGTTGTGTCATTGGAGCCCCCTGTGGCTGACCCTGGTTCGAGTCCTGGACCTGGTGGCTTGAAACTCACACCGAGTACATGTGTGTGCATGCCCAAGATCCTGGGAGGAGAAGGAAGAGAAGGGAGTGTGGCATGGCCATCCCCCCTGGGGGGTGATTTCTCACTTTCTCTCTCA